CCGTGGGTGTCATAAGAGCCGATGAAGGGAGCAAACTACGCAGGACAACAGAGCCTTTTTTTCGGAGACGGGGTGGAAAATCCTTTCGGTTCTCTGGCTCCTTGGGTATACCATAAGAGCCAGGAGTATGTGGTGTTTCCACTAACGATCACACGAGTCTGTTCATAGACCCTCGCGTCCACATCCACCAGGATATCAAAAGGCGGGAAACGCGGAAGTACTGTCGTCGCCCTTGACGAAATGATGCGATATCCCCGTACGTTCCGAATGGCCGCTACCCGCTGCGCTTGATTGAGCTTAGTTCGGCAGCGGGAGGAGACCGATAGGTGTTCCGTTGAGGGCCATGGAACGTATCACCGCATAATAGAGGCGGAGAACATATTTTTCCGCTGACCCCCTAGATTAGGCAACAGCCTCAGTAGGAGCCAGAACAACAGCACATACCAACCCATCTGGCCATCGTGTTATAGTAGGCTAAAACCTCTGAGCGGCCTATGTCCAGCAGTGGACTGATATGGCTATTGATAATGATGATGAGAGTAGAAGTTAATGAAACAATTTCAGTCATACTGGTAAAACTTTTAATAGGTAATATTAAAAAACATTGAAACAAAACTTCTCTTAACTTACTCAATAGGCACAAAAGTGAAGACTTAACTACTTATCCCCTATACAATATAGCTTACAGAAATTGGGTAAAGTTTCTATTTTATAAACTGTACACTTCAATATTTATGTATCTATACGTCATATTCAGATGAACATGCACACAGTTATTCATAACCATAAAAAAATAATGTGTAAACAGAAAACATTCTATCGACAAAAAGTTGTATTTGGCAGAAGTATAAACGCAGAAGTTACATATACGCCTTAATCTTTTCGGTTGATATAGGATGTACATATAATATTATATACAAAGGATCTGCGTAACCTTTGAAATGTTAGTGGCTTTTGCAACATACAAACTGCGATCCTTCATTAAAATGTATTTATTTACGTATGGGTGTTCCGAAAGATACATTATTAATCAGAGGGTCCAGAAATAGTTTAAGTAGTTAATCTAAGCTGAACAAACGATAATCTTTGATAAACGAGCAGTCCTGCAAGCAAACAGGTTGTCCAAACTATCAATCTCAATTAACAAACAATGTACCTGCATTATTATTACAGCGCATCAGGTTGAAAATATACAGATTTATCTGAAGTAGAATAAACAATTGGTAAAATTGTAGTTACCAGATACCAGAAGCTGGCTTGGTGTGGTGTCGTAGATAAAATTTTACTCGTCATCACAATTGGTGCAAATCGATCAAAATGACGGGTAATTAGGTGTCAATGAAGGGAATATTTTATTTAAACGTAAGTTACCTTAACACCAATCATATTTTAATAGATAATTAATAAATAGATAATAAAACGTTAATAAAGTACGAGCTTCAATCACCAAAATAAAATTAAGATGTGTATTCTTAATATATTTTTTTATGAGTGGCACTTATATAATTGAGGCTTCAATTAAATTAATATTATATGTCGAAATTTACATTAAATAAATAAAATTAAGTAATGATTATTAAGTATTTGAACGCTTTCACGATCCCGTCTAGTGCTTAAAAATATTTCTCATATCTTATGTTTAATACAAAATTAATTAATAAAATACTTTAACAATAAGTATACATTGAGGCAAATGGAATAAAATTAAGTAACCATAGCTGAACAAAATAAGAGTATTAAATCGTTTTAGCAAGAGATCGATTATTTTGTATTCATTTTTGAAGGCATTCTAGCATTGTAAGTACGTAACTAGGCTGATATATTTTTTAATACTTGTAGAAATTACGAATAGATATTTTTTAGGTCCGTGTTAATTTAACATTCGTTAAAGTACGAGCATAATGTGCCACTTAAAAAGTCAAATTATATATAATCCGGAGTAGAGTAGATGTTTCACATAACCTATATATATATTAAATGCGATCACGCATTCTTAAAACGATCTTTCTGTGGAAAGATCGTATTAAGATTGCGTGAACGCATTTGAACTAATACGTAAAATATAAATTACGTTAATAGGACCAAATCAGTTAACAAAACATTTTACCGAAAATAATTAAATAAATACCGCACACAGTCAAAAACTGCAATGTGATTAATCAAACATAACAATATTGTTTTTATTTATTTTTCGCGTTAGTTTTGTTTCTCATGTCTCATCAATGCAACAACAATGTACCACAGCGTAGCGTGGTAGGCAGGATAGAGCCAGTAAGGTCTCATTTTAAGTAAAGTCTTAAAAATCAACTGTTCTTGTCATCAAAAAATTACCGGTAAAGTTAAATAAAATGAACAATTACTAACTAAAAAAGCCAGAAAGGTTATTAAGTAACTATACTCTAAGTGGAAAGCTTTTTTAACATTGTTGTATTATTATGTGTATATATATTGTTGTATTGTTATATATTATATTCTTTTGTAACATTTTAACAATGAATAAGACGCAAACATTCTGTTCGATTAGGAATTTTGCAACGGCTCCTTTGCCAGGGGTTTAGAGAGAGTAAATAGCACGGTTTTCTGATTGATAGGTTACCAAACCTAAAACTATTCTAGAGAAAGTAGTTCTAGAAGATTTTGGAGCGCAATGCAGCGATTTGGACATTGTGTTTGTATACCTGAAGACGAAGCACAAATGTAAAATTTATATCGAAGAGATTGTACGTACTCGAAAGATTTACAAGGGTTACGACAAAAAGTATGAACTTAGAAGAAAGTTTTTAAAGATAATGAAAATGTGATTTTTTTTGTGGACAGAAACAAAACCGTTTTCTTCTCTTTACGAAAAGGGCTGTGATGTCTAGCTTTTTTTTAACTTAAAAACTTGAGGTTTTCATTACATTTTTTTGTATCTAAAATATATATTAATTGTGTCACGCACATTTTTTTAATACTTTTTAAGCATTATTATAGACAGCGTACTGTAAAATATTAACATTACTAATAATAGTAGATCTTAATAAAATTAATTAATAGAACTTAGTGTTGTAATCAATATTGATAATTTTCTCTTTACTTTTGTTTTTTTTTTTAATTTAATAGTAATAGTTTATTAAACTGTCGTATATGAAAAATGAAATGTTTTGAAATGAATTTTATTTGACACTATGCGCTTTGGCCAATTGCATCATCATAATGTGCAACTTGTTCGTTACGTATTCTTGAAATACAGACAATAAAGACAATTCTAGGTTACCTAGTTCGGAGAAGGATGTCACTACTACCCGGGGAGGTAGTACACTGTAGAAGGTACTTGACAGTAGTTTTATAAAGTAAACATTACCGCTTAAAAGTATTGGCCTACGGCGGAGCGCTAAAATGATGGCCATTGCAATCTCCGATCTCAATCTTATTGAGTTGGCAGTGGAGCAGTAGGTGTGTGATTTATAAATGGCATTCTCTTAAAGTAAAAGTAGGTAGTTCACAACATATCTGGGAAATACGCCAGCAGGAGAGGAGTTCAATAGGCTGATTATTTTTCAAAGTTTTTCGACCGGATGCCTTAACCGTAGTATGCGTAGTAGTTATACATTTAACATTTGTAACACCGCCAAAATAAAAAAAATACCTTGTATTATTTTTTGTTCAAATAAACATGGATGAGCAAACACTTTGCAACAGTACTACACACAGTACAGTACACTTAGCAAAATACAAATAAACTATAACCATAACAGGCTTCCAAATAGACAAAAATGTGTAGTCGAAAGTGGAGTGTATATAATTATATATATATACTTATATAATAGTCAACAGTCTGGAAATGTATTGTAAAAGAATAAAACTAATAAATATTAACTTCTGTGCTTTCACAACTTCTGTGCTGTACTGACAATGTGGCCAATATGAGGGCTTTACTTCCTTAGAATAGTAGCTAGCGAAAAACTGAAATAATAATTAAAGTAATTGTACTACACGGCAGTGTTGGTTGGCAACTAGTTTCGGTAACAGTATTTATCTTAATATCCTAAGTTGTGTCGCTAAACCATATTATTACATTAAAAGACATTGCTCAATACTGCGACGCGATTTTTATACGAGATTAAGTACCTACTTATTAATTAAGTTTAAATGCGTAGTTGATTGATGTACCATCATTTTAATTTCATTTGTAAAAAATATAATGGACTTAACAGGTATGGAGGTACAGTGCTTAATAAAAATGATAGTGCTCAATCGGTTTCAATATTGCGAGATTATTTGAGCTAACCTTACCAATATACCTATCACTGAAACCCATAGAAATCACACCCTGTCATAAGTCTTAAGTACTACGTATTTAGATATTTGCAACACTTATTAATTCTTAACTGTGATGTGTCGTAAATGCTTCCATATTATTATCATTGCTACATTTAAAAACTACGTCACAAATCGGTGATGATGTTTGACTAAGACAGAAGTTTTTCTGTCTTAATATTGTAAAAATCGAAACAGTTGCTGAAATTTTGTCCGTGAACAACTGTTTTCCCTTATAAATAATATTCGCATAATACGTAAACAATACTTATAGAATACCATAGGTATTTACAAATTATTAGAAGATATACACTGTTTGTTTTATATGTAATAATAATAATCAAAAACTCAGTTGGCAAATGGTGTCGTTGACTATTTTTTTTTTAAGTGCAATGATCTAATCTCATAATAATGTAGCGAAGCAGAGTTACCTCTTTGCTATTAAAAAGAGTGGAGTTGACCGATTTGCCAATTGAGGTATCGATATATTTAGGCGTCATAACAAATCTGATTATCACATATTTATAAAATAGTTCATGAAGCATATGTAGTTGTATAGCACAGCAACAAGTTAGCTCATATTTACGTTAAGTTTTTTATAAAGCAACTTATCTGACTCTGTCTATACTACATTTTTAAATTCACTAAAGAAGCACGCAAACGAATTGCATACTGCTCAGTGAACTGCAATGCAGAGTCATTTAGTTAACGAGTCCGGCGTCTTTAGCCATGCTGTAAAATATGGATTTTTTATCCTGTAGTAATTGTTCTGGAGGCGCGTACTCAACGAGCTGACCTTTGTCGAGCACCATAACTTTTGTAGAGTCCATAATAGTGTTGAGCCGATGAGCGATGGTCAGCACGGTGCAAGCTGCGAACTCAGTGCGAATAGTTTTCTGAAACGATAAACGAGATTAGTATAAATAACATGCCTCATCGGTGATACGTCGTATTGAGAAGTCGCCAGACTGGCTGTACCTGGATAAGCTCATCGGTCTCCAGGTCGACGGCGGCGGTAGCCTCGTCTAGCACGAGCAGGGGGGTCTTTCGTAGAAGGGCTCGCGCCAGGCAAACTAGTTGTCGCTGCCCAACGGACAGATTTTCACCCCCTTCCGATACTTCGTGTCGGAGTCCCGCTTGTAGTCCTATGGACAGAAATAGATTCGTGTCAGTACCGAGACGTCGTCGACACATACACACGAACAATAAATCAACGCTCACCAAGTACGAACGGCTTGAGATGCGCGTGGTCGAGGGCGCGCCACAAGTCGTCGTCAGAGTACGTCTCGAACGGATCGAGGTTCATTCGCAGCGTGCCCGAGAACAAGACAGGGTCCTGAGGGATAATGGTGATGCGCGAGCGCAGCTGATGTAGGCCAATCGTAGCGATGTCCAGACCGTCGATGAGTATACGGCCGGAAACCGCTTCGACGATTCTGTGGGAGGGTAAAGTCGGTGAAGTTCGTTTAGACAAGTGTGAGCGGTGGGCTCGGGCGGCACGCACCTGAAGAGGCCGAGCGTGAGCGTGGACTTGCCGGCGCCGGTGCGGCCCACGATGCCGAGCTTGTCGCGCGGCGCCACGGTGCAGGTGATGCCGCGCAGGGCGGGCTCGCCCCCGCTGCGGTACGACAGCGTCAGCTGCTCCAGCTGCAGCGCTCCGGTCTCGGGCCACGTAGCTCCGGGACCCGACGGTTTCACCCACGCCGCTTCCTACGACACGATCGATGCCGTTAATATCGCAGTCTTAATGTTCGATACTCGAACGTCACGTTTCTTCGTCTCACCTGATCGGTCTCCGCGTATTCTTTTATTCGTTCGACGGCTACTATATTAGTTTCTACTTCTGACGTCATGCGGACCAGCCAATTCAATGTTTGTGTGATCTGAAAATGATATTTTCGTATGACAGAGTCCAGTAGCGTGAGTTATGGTAGTATTGTTAGTTATATATATATATGTATACCTGCAACGCGTAGCTAACCGATAGACCTACTAGCCCGGGACTGATGGTCTCTCTACTGTATACTGCGAACATGGCAGAGAAAAATATAATAAAATTTCCCATCATCTCTAGCCTGACCGCCAGCCATCTGTTCGCGATACAGCTTGGGTAATAACAGCACTGGTTGTGATCGACACCGCGTTCAGATTCTTTTATAAACCTGTAAATATATTAAACACATAATACTTTTTAATATTATATTTACAATCCACATATATTTTAATAAATCGTAGCTGTAGGCTTTAATACAATATACGTGATTTGACGACTTTAGACTGTGTCAGTGTCAGACTGAAACTAAAGTCACCATGACTTTGGACTGGGTTAGAGCTAGCATAGCATTCTTTTAACTTCTGAAATTACGATAAATGCTTGGAAGGAGTAATTTCACATTAAGTCAGACAATGCTACCCGTTACTAGGGAAAATTGATCAGACATTTGTAGAATATGTTGGCTGTTATATTTGATTATTACCTTTCTGCGACACCGTAAGCTCGAATAGTTGAGGCGCCGGTGATACTCTCTCCGAAGTGCGAGTAGATGGGCGATCGTGAGACAGACTCGAGACGTTTCAGCTGCCGCGACGTTGCCACGTAGAACCGCTGGATTATGTAGTAGAGGACGCCGATGGGTACGACCACAGCCAAGAATATCGGCGTCGAGAAACTTATTACGAATAAAGTACCCAATACCTAAAGATATTCAATATTATTATTAGTATAATATAAAATTTTAAATACAAATATTATTACCTTATTAACACATGTTATACATATATCGATCTCTGTCTTGATCGTTTGAGCTTATTACCTGTTGTATATACATATTTGTTAAACGTTTTAGATTAACACACGATTAACATATATATAAATATTTGGGATCAGTTCATAAAATAATTCACTTTCACAAATTAATTATTTTTGATCGGTGTTTATACGTAAATAAATAAATAAATACAAAATAGACGATACATAAAGAACACGACACAAAAAAATCTCTTAAACCGAAACAAATTTAAGTAAATATGCTTATAGTGTATATTATTATTGTCGCTGTTATTCAAGTTATGCAGTCTATAACGGATAACATGATACTTAAATCCACATCAAAATAGCAATATTGCTACTTTAGTGCTTTACTACTTAGTACCAGTACCAAGGGCTACTCATCAAAGTAAGAGTCCTTTTGCGATAGATTTTTAATTACATATTTTTAAAGGAAACAGTTGGCTAAATGATTTGCAAGAATCGTATCAAACTATATGCACATTTACTTCTAAAATTATTGAAAAGCCAATAAAAAAAAACACCGACAACACAGCCAAAATTCACTTAAAAATAAATACCCACCAATACAAGATCTAGACTTAAAATTTAACCACGACAAAGAACTCCTGTGTTGAGATTACCTCAAACAAGCACCACATCAAGTCAGAAATCTGCGAAGGTAGAGATGTGTCCAAAACATCAACGTCTTTAGAAAATCTAGAGAGTATCCTGCCCAGCGGCGTCACTTCGAAGAATTGCAAAGGCGCTTTTAACACATGGTCCAATAATAGCTCGTGGAGATACCTCGCTGCGCGCCAACATGCCAGGTATGGCATTAAATCAGCAAAAAACGATCCTATTGCTGTAACAACGTATCACGGATACGGATTATAGTAGCCGGCTCAATACAACTTATTGATTCTCACAGATACTAATAATAATGAATACATTGTTTACGATGTCCACACAGCCCCGAGGCAACAGAATCCACATTGATGATCATCAGGAATAGGTCTAGGGTGTAAATTGCGAAATAAAAAAAGCTATGTCGTGTTCTACGCTAAGGCTAATAACATAGAAAGTTAGGGACATGCAGCACGTGCATTTAGATTTTTTTAATTTAAAGGGGCCAATGAGACCCATTTCAACTAAAAAGCTGGTTTGTAATTAAAGCGCCACATTATGGTTACTTTACAAACTGATCCCTTATGTTGTTAAAGAATTTTAAAAAAACATCCTAAATAATAAGGTAGTCACACTGCATGAATGATCAATAGCAAAGAAAGCATAGTTAATTTGCATAAATTATGTTTCATTTTGTAAAATAAACAAAGCTAATGTATGATGTATATGTAACAAAGAACCTTAACTAATTGGAAAAAATGATTACGATGACAGTTGTAAGTTAATACTACTACTAAAGTAGTTAGTAACGCAAAACCATTAACGATGTAAAAAAAGAAATAAAATTGTTATAACAGAAAAAAAATACCAAATTAAACTATCGAAAATCGGTATTGATCCGATCCAACTTTCGGTCCGATACAACATATATACTGATATAGACTCTTTGACATACCTAAATTGACAAAACAACATTACTTTACACCTAACGCGATAAGGTTTTTAGGTTTAGAATAAAATAATATCTTCTACACTTTGGTCGTTTTCTACAGTGCTCTTGTAAATATAACAGAATATTTTCATGCAATTGATATTGATGAACATTCAATTGTACAAACAAGAGATTACTCTATTAATCGGTATTAAATAAAATATATAATTAGAGTATTCGGCCTAATAAATGGTTTTCTAACTTTCTTTGTTTTCACATTTTATGATACACGATTCTAAGCATCTTAAAGGCATTTTATATCTACATCTTAATACTAGCGCGACGGTGAGGATTAGGCGCTCTAAGTATTTTATGTTTGGTAAATCAATCTTCTCAATTTCGACATATTTTTTAGATATAAAACCAACTGCTATTGTTTATTTTTTTTTACTTAGGGACGTTAATTTTTGCTGTGTCAACAAGAATAAGCGTATTTCAATATGTACTTGAAGAAGAAAAACTATTACCATGATTGGATAAAAATTGTTTTTTTTAACCATTTTTAGTCTTGTACTAGGTAGCAACTTTAGGTTAACGCTACTTAATCAATCATTATGTTACGGCTGATTAACTTCCAAAAGAATGATTGATTTAGTTTGTCAAGCTATTGTACCTTCGTTTTCATTCACGGTCTCGCTTATGAGATCCTTGTTTTCATTTTTTGAAATTTTGGGTTGTTGATCTATTTCAGCAGTTGTTTTTATTGATACGGCTATTCGAGATTCTCTGTTTTCAGGATCTATGAAGTAATCCTGATTAAGGAATTTATTGCTTTGAAGCTACAGTTTCCATAGATATATAATTAAAATTCAGAACTGCATTAAATATTCAATAGTGGCAAGTATTATTAGTTACGTTTGATGATTTACTGAGGCTAATTCTACTTTTGACTTTTTATAGTTTATATGTGAATATATTAGGTAGCATCAACATTACCATTTTTTTCAAACGATGGGTCTACAAAACTAATCATTATATTTTTTACCTTATACCTATATAGTGGTTTTTAAAATAATCAATAAAAATAATGTTAAGAAAAAATACTATTTAAAACTGTGTATAATGTAAAGCCCCCCCAATACGGTCGGGTGCCGTTATAGCTTTAACTAAAAATAAAAAGAAATAATATAGATTTAAGGTAGGTAAACGAGCCGGTTTACATTATACACTTTAATAAAAAGCATCGCGTGCAAAGGGGGCAGCGTCGCGTACCGCGAAGAAGCAGGAGGTCCAGCCCCTGAGCGTCATGGGCAGGACGTTGTCGAGCACGTCGACGTCCTTGCTGAAGCGGTTGAGCACGCGGCCGACGGGCGTGCAGTCGAAGAAGCCGATGGTGGGCGCGTGCAGCACGCCGCCCAGCAGCGCCGCGTGCAGCGCGCGCGACGCCGCCAGCGTGCCCAGGTACAGCGCCAGCGACGACACCGACACCGACACCACTGCGACCCACGCACGTACGGACCAGCCGTATTGTGTTTGTGACAGATCCAAAACTTGTTACTCTTTTTGAGGTGCATTCTTCGACAATATTTATAATAGTAGCAAACGAACGAAGACGCTATGTACCACTACTTCTTTGGTGTAGTTTTTTAATAATCGACTCCGTAAGCTCGCTTTTGGAATTAAACTATTGATTTGCATTTATAAAAAAAAGCATGCATGTTAAGTAAGAAGTGGGAAGACAGGCGTGTCGAAAGAGTATATAATACAAAAGTCACATACTGAGAATTTTACGTCTAAAGATAACGGCTCAATGCACTCAGATTTGTCGGCATCGTCTGAACTCCCGCGTCCATAAATTACCCCCATAGTGCGCGGTAGGAGTAAATGTATTTGCCTCTTGCTAAAAATACTAAATTGAGCACTCGAATTTACTTGTCCTCAATGTGTAATTTCATTTTTGAGATTAATCTCTTCATAAACACTTAGTTACGAAAAGTATGTGTAAAATATGTAGGCATACTGTTAATTACATTTCTTCTTAAGAAATGGGATATTTAAGTTCTCGTTGTGACTGATGTACTAATAATAAACTAAATTGTATCTATTTTCGTCATAAATTTCATGCATTACTATGTTATTATTTATTGTTAATATAATGAAAACCATGCAATAGGGAATACTGTCAATGTACATAAAATGGTTAGTTTTATATTCCTTCATAAAGTAAAAAATGTATTCATTATTATAAGTTACCACCCTTTGCCCAGGTTACATTATTTAAAGGTTAAATGGACTACAATATGTTAACTTTTTACAAATTGTTACAAAAAGGTACGGCAATATTTTAGGAAAGTTAAGTAGACATCGCGAATGACGTTTCCGACTAATTCAAGGTAGTTTCATAATTTTTATAACCGAAATCCTATTTGATACTGACAAAACGAACTTAAAAATTAAAAAAACGTTTCGTAAAGGAGTGTTTTAAAATGACAAATTTTAATGAATTTAATACTAAGGATATTCAATCAATAACCAGATGTTTCCGGAAATGTCTGCATAAAAAAATTTCTTTTTAAGCTTTTACATTTTCCAATATCTATTTATTCCAGCCAACTCGACTATAAAGCTACTAAAATATGACCATACCTGATTGATTGATTAAGTGTAGAAGTAGTGTGTAAAAGGCCTTTAGCCCGTCTAGTCGTTAGTATTACACACTAACGACTAGACGGGCTAAAGGCCTTTTTGTTTCGTTCTGAATTTAATTTAAATTATTAGCTGTGGTAGGTTAATTTTAAATATAAAAATACAGTTCAATGCTTAGATTAACAAAACAAGTATTTAATCAACTTCAAACAGCGTCTACTGTGTAAATGTACAAGAATTAGTACATAGTACATTGGTTAGTGGTCTGCAATCATTAGCCAAATTTGTGAAACCTAATTCATACAATGAAATAATGTACAGTAAAAAGTAAAGTATTTAATCAACCCAAGGTAAGGATTCACTTTTGGTTTGTAATTATAACCAGGTCAGGCACCAAACTAATAAACCCGGTAACTGACTAATAAACTCTGTATGTCAGTTTTAAATCAGTCTTGTCATTGATTTGTCGACCTCAATGATCTCACCTTTGGGATTGACAAATCAAGGGTGAGTGGTAGATTTCATTCCTCGCCATGTTCTTCCTAACCATTTTGAATTTATAATAATAAAAAGGAGATGTTTAAGGGCCGAGCGCCTATTTAATTGTTCTGTGTATAGATTTCTGTTACCTCAAAGCTTATTTACCAACACAAATGTTCACCATCCCTCTCATGGATACATTATTTTTTATTTCATACACTGGATGAATATATGTAGGTCTTAGTTATGTTTTTCCTAATCACATCAACAAGCAAACAATCTAGTAATGTTTGACGGAACATGAAATCCGACTTATTTCATGGCTATTGTATTTTTATTACAGAATGGGTTTTTCATTTAAATATTTTTAGATCATGCATATTTAAGTGTACTTTTTATCCTCCTACCGCACTCAACACCTAGTTAAGTAATCCGACAAGATTTGTTCATCTCTCATACAAATTTGTATGATTGTACTGATTTTCCGTACAATAACGAACAGGCCGCGTAAGGCTCGATGTCGTCATTTATAAACCATCTTCAAAATTGTAACACCATTGAATTTCACTTCATGCATTGATTTATTTTAATATATTTAATTGTCAAGCAAAAATTTTACTATGAATCATTAGTTAATTCTGAATAAAAAACAATGAGCGAAATATAAGTCGGTTTTTATTATATGTGGACTGTGTGAAAGAGTGCGTGTAGTATTTGTGAACATTATCTGTGCTTCAAAACAACTATCACCATGTGTGAAATAAAGATTTTTAATAGAATGACCATCCCCATTTTTGTGTTCTTATTAGATATCCAATAATACGTGACGTGATGTATGAGACAAAGTAATAGTGCTTACCTTGTCCGACGCCGAGGCCGCCATACACGCCGAGGTACATGTCACGTCGCGCGGTGTCAACAGTGCCGTTCACCAACTGTCATAATAATAATATTATCATATATTTTAGTTAAATGGCCTTTTATTTAAATCTTATATAGAATCTCGCAGAAAAGGCGGCGGACAGGACCGGGGGGGAAGATCTCGGACTCTCGGACACTCCGACCGGGCGGCGGAGGCGCGGCCTTCAAGCGTCTCATGCCGCTTTGAGTGTGGCCGTGGGTGGATGAGACGTTTTCCCCCTCTACCCGTCATAATGGTTAACCGCCTAAATGGGTGCCTGGATGTAGCCTAAATGACATTTACTAGATGGTGGTGCCCATTGCTTGGACTCAATTTATCCATGAGCATTAAGATATGTATTTAAAAAACAGATTTTTGAAACAAACTGAAAGTTAAAAAAAAAACTTTCAGATTTCATGGTAGTATATAGATAAGAACTAAACTTTACTTCAAAAATGTATAAACGGCATTTTTGACAGACTTTTCAAACTTTTGTAGTCAAAAAATATTTTTGTTTATATAAATCCTGACTGAAAAGACAAAATATGATAAAGTACGAAATAAAATAAATATTTTAATTACCATTTTGTCGTCATTGGACCACGCGGTAAGCCAGTAGTTGGAGCCAACTTGGAACACTTGTAGAATTAGATTCATTACCACTGTCACCACGGACGAGAATATACCCACGCTCATTATATAGTGTTTATATACATTCCATTTTACCTGAAAAACAAAATGTAGAAAACAAATTTTATTTTATTTGGATCACCAACAAGAAATACACCTTGCATGCTAGTTATACAGCAAATAAAATTGTATGTCTTGTGCTTCCTCAATTATATATACCTATATACCTAAAAAAATTGTTTAACAGAGCGATTTTTGGAAAATCTTTTCTTTCAAATAACTAGCCACCACTATTGATGCTTGCTTTCATTAACCTAAATCAATTAGCACGCAGCTAGCACATCTTCCGGTGGTAAAAACTTTATTCTATTAGGTTTTTTCTTTATTGTAGAGAAGAAAAAGACGTCACTTGACTAATATAGGTAGGAAGACAGTTGATGAACCATAAATTAAAACACTTATTCGCAAAACTTCATGAGTGACAATAAATTATGTGTCTTCAGGAAATGAAATGTTATTAGACTTCTTATCATTTTTTAAGTTTAACTTTTCTTGTATGGCTTTTAATTATAAACCCAAAACAAGTTAATGATTGGGCACTAGCGGAGTATGATGTTTCATAGACTATTTTTTCTAATTTATCGTTTTGGCGTTCAATAAAGAGATTTACTTAACAGTACATCACGGTATTCCTTCGAAGAAACGAATAGCGTCGGCATCGGTATTGGTACCGACGCTATTCGTAAAACAGATTGGTACATTTACCCTATTGAAAAAAAGATGGTGTTTTTTATTATGGACACCTTCGGAGTTCGTTATTATTTATAGGCGCACCAGACAACCCTTTATGATAGTGAAAGTCCGAGCGGGTTCTTACTCGATAAATTAGTTTGAAAATAAGTTTAAGACAGAAATATTACTTACGCTTCCAGTCTCTGTTTTCTCGGTTTCGATGAGTTTATTTTTCTCTTTCAGTTCATTAGGACTAACACTGTCTGGGGTCTTTCTCTTCACGCTGCTGGTGTGGTCCCCTAATATTAAATTAATAAGTCAATATTCTATTATATAACGTCATTATGATAGTTATATATATTAATTTAATATTTGGCTGATTGACTAAGAGAATGGTAATTGATCAATTGCAAATGAATAATCGCGAGTAATTCCGACGCGAGTCCGTGTAGTGACGGATTAAGAATACGGAATATCACTTCCCCAATTCATCCCGTGGGTTTCGTAAGAGCCGACTAAGGGCGCAAAACAACGCAGGACACCAGCACTGCAAAAAGGTGGAAAACTTGACACAAACCCTATACCAACCCGTCTGGCCAGCGTGGTATAGTAGGCCAAAACCTCCTTTCTAAGGAGAGGCCTATATCCAGCAGTGGACTATTAAAGGCTGTTGATGTGTGATGGTGTGATTATCAGTTGAGATTTAATCATTTATCATTGTACCATTGAAATAAAAATACTGCACTTTCATATTTACATACAATATGTTCGACAAGTTACTTTTAGAAGTTTTGTGACTCTCTATGTATAAAAATTAAAAAAAAAAATTGAAATCCTGTACCTGCAGCAGGTTGTTCCGATTCCGACGCGCTTTCAGATAGAGAACGGGCCCTTTGTAATTTGTTTTGGAATTCAGACCCGAGTTTACTTTCCAGGTCCTGCTTAATTTCGTCCAATTCTGAAACATATTTAAAATACATTTATTTGTAAATAATAACAACAACTTTAAAGTCGTTAGACATAGTCAAGACACAGCAGTTTAAGAAACGGTTGGTCGTCTGGTAAGTTGATTTCTTTTCATTAGTAGTTTGTTGAAGTACCAGTTTTATGGAGCAACAAATATGGGCTGATTATAAATATTTTTATTTAGACCATTTTAGTAGTCCATATATATATTGAAATGTGAAAATGAGTTTGTTTTTTCACACCTAAACCACTAACCCTGGTTTAGTATAAGTATGTATAAGTAACCTGTCATACATACCGGTTTATTTAGTTTCTAGTGCCATAAATATTACATGTTTTGTTAAATAATACTACGTGATAAAAAATCTATATTTACAAAACTTGTTTGAATCTCACGTCGGACACTGCTGATAAACACATTTCTAGCAAGTTTAACCCATCTTGCTAGATAAAAAAAATCATGATTTAACTACCTTCTGGTGATGTACGCTCAGCATCGCTTAAATGGTGCAGCAGAAACTCTGCAAACGCACCCTTCTTCTCGAGCAGCTGCTGGTACGTGCCGGCCTCCGACACGTTTCCGTCGCGCAGCACCAGCACCATGTCAGTCTGCGACAGGTACGACACGTTGTGGGTCACCCACACGCGCGTTGTGTTCTTTAGCAGCCCGCTCGGTCCTATCACCTGGAAGTAAAACAAATGAGATATTGATCTGTCAGGCACCTGTTAGTTTTTAGTTCCTCCGGATAAGTTCACTCACTCGATGACGAGTATGACTTATGTTAAACCCGTATTTCTGTGATTGAGCAGGCCCATACCTGCCGAGGCGTTGCTCTCCTAACTAGTTTTTTTAACTAGATTATTTACCGGCTACCGGTTCACTATATTTCAAAATAAGTGAAGTAGCCGTACCTTATCGAAAATGTGTTTCCCGACGTGAGAGTCGACAGCGCTAAGAGGATCGTCCAGGAAGTAGTTATCTGCGCTGCAGTACACGGCTCGCGCCAATGACACTCGCTGCTTCTGACCGCCAGACAGATTTATACCTGTGTAAGTAAAACAATATTTTAAGTGTTAAAATTTATCGATTTATTTCGATGAAAGAGTCGGGAAAAGAAAGTTACTGGTTCATGCTAATGTAATTAATAAATAATATTTGTCTTGTTTTCCTATTACAATATTATAAATGTGTAAATATTATTATAAATTTAGTAATTGTACTTGAAAACTGCTACAACACTCGCTTCTCCGAAGGTAAATCCTAACCACTTAATCATAGTCCTTGTTTGATTGCCATCGAGCTTTTTTCAATATTGTGTTTTTTTTACAACTTGAAATGACAATTATTGTCAAGTTTATTAAATGTTTATAATGTGTGATTAATTACCTTTCTCTCCTATTTCAGTTTGGTCGCCTCCAGGTAACACTTCAAAGTCGGGCTTAAGTGCACACACGTTTATTACATCATTGTATTTTTGTTTGTCCAGAGGTTTACCGAATAAAATATTATCTTGAAGTGTTGCATTCTGGATCCACGCTTGTTGAGGCACGTACGCTATGGTTCCTGTATTGTATAAATAATTGCATGAATTTCCTAGTTATAGATTCGTGAAATTGATCATGTGAAAACTGCAAATATCACATCACCATACTCGGGAGACAGATAGTGCCTAATAAGACAAAAAATATTCTTGTCCTCATATTTAGTCCTGTTTTACTTTACGGGGTGATAGGTGTGATATAAACATACGATGTGACTGAATAAATTACCAGTAGTGTTAACACGTCCAGAAGTTTTGTTCATCTCTCCAAGCAATGCAGCGAGAAGCGAGCTTTTACCCGAGCCGACGGCACCTACCACAGCCACGAGCGAGCCGCGAGGAATCCGCAAGTTAATGTTTATCAGTGACGGGTCAGAGTTCTGGTCACCCCACGTAAAGTTTCCATTTTCGATTACAATTGGATTTGCTGAAATGAACATTATAGAGTTCTGTTAATACCCTTCTTATCATTATAAAGGTCACCCAACTCCCCTCCTCTGACAGTAAAAATATTACACTAAAGCAAATTGGAAATCATTCTTTACAGGTTAGGTACACATTGGTGTACAGGAATCATCGTTAAAAGAAGAACTAATAATGAATGCTCTATAAGAAATGCCATACATTGAGAAGTATAAAAATGTACAATGCAATTCAAATAAGAATAGTAAAACTGTAAATTAAAATAATAAATTAATATAAAAGAAAATTAATATGCGTAACATTATCACTTTTAAACAATGTTTTTTACTTTACTATTGACGAATCGATTGATGCAGTTTTAAAAATAATTTAAAACGTTGTTGCAATCTTGTCCTTGCCAGTGTGCTTGTGGAATGTTCATTTTGTTAGTTACATTTGGTGCGTGGTTGTTTGGTCTTACATATAGTTTTCATCACATATTTTTTTGGCACCAAACGAGCAGATAGTGGATGTTCACTTGATGGTAAGTGACTATCGCAGCCCAGGAAGAGGAATGGATTTGTAATCGTTCAAAGAAATATAATAAATTCAATATACACGGTGAGAAAGGAAATACCGGGCTTTGAATTAAATATTTGAGGCCTTAAAGGGGAACTTGGAATTTTCAGGATAAACTACAACTCTGAGACGAATAATGGTGGAGTCGCTGTGATATAAATTAAAAAGTTTTAGAACGAAAGATTAGTTAATACAAAGACCTGACCTTATAATTTGGGGCTCCAAATATGTAAGACGTATTCGCCAAATTGCTTTTTTTTTTGTTGTATATAATATATACAACAAAAAATAGATACTGAAATGTTTTCTGTATCAACAAATATCCATTTTCATTTCTAGAGGCGAATGTAGTTCATGGTGACGATAATGACGTGATGAAAGATGACAATTGAAAATGAGATGTAAATATACTATGTCCATATACTCGTATACTCTCGGCAATTGAAGTTTCTAGACTCCGATTAAAAAATGTTCTTCATGTTATGTATTTGTAAATAATTTGATTATATTTCTTTTAACAGAAATAGTTCGACAGACAGCTGACATCACAATATAGCGCCGCCACTTGTGTGAATAGCACAGTACCAGGAATACCGAAACAAAATCAAAAATTAGATAAACTCGATAACTCGATTTATTAAATTCGATTAACTGTTAGTTAAATATATAATCAGCGCTAGTGTAGACACTTCAATTATTCGAGATTTGAGGTAATTGTACTGTTACCTGAGAAACAGAGTATGGTCATTATTAAGTGATAAAACTTCACATACTTAATTGAGGTAATTTTATAAAATCTATTATACAGACATGAATATTTGGAGTAAAATTCAAAATGGCATGAATCGTTTAACCATAATTTTTAAATCCTGAAAATACCTATATGTAATCCTGACGATACTACTTCTGCCAATACTAATTAATACTTAATAAATGATTGAAAAGACGGAGTACCGCTTTTTCTTTCGGGAATGCTACATATTTTCCGGGTGTCCAACTTGGATTAATCGTTAATAGTGTTCATATTTAGGGATTTGACAAAAAATCGATTTGAATGCAGCGAATAACGTCTCATTGGATACAACTTCAAACATTGAGATAAATTTGATGTATGTTCATAGATAACATGTAGCTTGCGTACATTAGTTTATCGTTATGTCATTTTCGATTACAGTTTGGCATTCAGTAAAATGATTGTACTTACGTTCTTTAGGATCGTGTTCTACGGAAGAGTCATCCAATTCGTCGCAATTCAAAAATTTGTTCAATCTCTTTATACCGACAGCGGTCTACAAATAGAAAAATGTATTAACTGGGTAGGCATAAGCAAATGTTTGTTCGTTGATATATTCAGCTACTCAACGGCACACTGTGATAAGAAGATATTTGTAGTGATTATAAATATTGTCTTATCTCAATTAACTTAGCAATTGCTTACTTATAATTCACGCCAAAAAATCAAACCTTAAACTAAATTAAAATAAAAGCGTGCACTACCATTAGTAGCTAAACCACAGGAATGTTAAAAAGTTTTGATTAACGAATGGATTTATGGGCTTATGGGATTTTTTAAATTGTTAAATGCAAGCAGCTGTGGGGCAGGTTAATCTTTTATGAAATTTATTTATGTGAAAATAATAAAAGTTCTGACGAACTATCTTACCATTACCACTACCCCACAACTGCCTCACACTTTATAATATATTTAAAAAAAAAGAGCTCAAACTTTGGCTAAAAATTATGTGAAAACTTACTTGCACCACATTTGATATAACATTAGGCAGCATTGAGAGTGGGAAACGGAGAATGTTGAAAAGAGACAACGCTACGAAAGCTCTTTCAGAGTCCAGCACTTCTGTTTCGTTTACCAACACAAAGCACCCGAACGACATCAGCGATACCTACGAGACCATTCCAGTAGTTATATTATAAGATGGGACCATGCAAATGTAACTGGACTTTGAGCTTTCTATGTTTACATTGTGTCGACGACTCAGTATCTTAATTGAGTATTGAATTTTACAGACAATATGAGACGCGAATGTCGCTCAAGTATTTGTCGTGCGAATCTTAAGTCAACGACCACAAGGTAAACATATGTGAGGATTGGTGTACCCACACTTGACCCTATCGAATATTAAAATGTCACGAGATGTGTGTTAGTAGTAGTAGTCCTTGTGGAAAAGAACCAAAGCCTTTTATGTAGATATATTAGGGTGCGTTACATCCTGTGGCACTACCTCGATCACAGCAACAATGATGAGGGGCAGTAAACCTAATGGCAAATGCATTGTGTAAAACAGAGACATTGAGACGAATATGTTTTCAGCTGTCAGGATGTTTTTCTCGGGATCACTTATCAGAAATGTGAAGAATGTTAGGAAGGTCACCTTGAAATAAATAAAATAATTTAATTTTTTGTATGTTTCATGTGTCGAACTCATTTATAAAATCTTAAACTTATTGTTGTATTGTTATATAGTCTAATTAATAAATAGTTGAGTTTAATATAGGTCACTACATTTCCCGAATATAGGAAAAAAGTAATGTAAAAGTATACGAACAATTTTTATATTCGTACAAATAAAAAAAGGCCTCTCAGCAAGGTTTCACTGTGAATTATCAAAATTTGATTTTTTAAACAAAAAAGAGAAAAGGTATTTAATTTTATATGGCTAGATTTTTGTGTGAATAGATATGTCAAAATACTAAACAAAACTGAACTGAATGATTTAGATTAAGTGGCAAATTCTATCGGGGTTCAGTGTAATATCAGCTCGAAATATTCATCATTATGTCACTGCTGGCCATAGGCCTCCCGCAATAACTTCCAAAAAGAAAGGTTGGCAGCGGCCTGCATCCACCGTCGTCTGCGGCTTGGTGATAGATAACACTGCGGTTTCCGGTAGTCTGTGGTCTCCATTCAATTACGATTACTAATAATTTATGACGGATAAACTATAATCTCTCAATCATGGGGATGTCTAAACATTTTAAATCTAGGTGATAAAAAAAATATCAGTTTTATTAGTATCGTAAACACTTATTGATAATAAAGAAATGTGGATTACATAGAAATCGTGTTATATTAACATTACTTAGTCTTTATACATAAACTGGGATAAAAAATAAAGTCTGTTAAAATAAAATAGATATTATATTTGTAAGGGGTTACGACATTTGAATAAATGGGCAGCGATTGAAGCAAACACTGCACCATACCATACAACCAATGATATTTGTTTTCACTCATATCTTATTTTACGTTACGTTTACATATTATAATTAAAAAACTGAAAACTAGAACTGACTGCTTTGTTTTTTATATATAGCACATTATGTTTATTTTGTAATCTACCTAGGCTATAAAATAATTTACTTTTTAGTTTCGAAAAAAGTCAAATTGGTCAAAAACGGAGAAAAATAAAAATAGCATGCTAAAATAAATAAATTAAAGGACGACGACCATATCTTGCAATCTTTATTACGTAATTGAGTAGATTCTAGCAAACGCTTCAATGCCATTTCCGAATATTATTACGTAGTGTGAGTTTGCAATTTGAGTATGATTGTTGTATCTAGATATCTATAATAAGCTTACCAAGAAAGGCGCACATGACCAAATAAATGACGTGGCGGAGTTAAGATAAGCAGCTTGTTTCAACACACCCATTTCCTTGTTTCTTATTTTAAGGATTTGTTCTTCGAAACTCGGCTCCCAAGCATACATTTTTAAGACCTAAAATGTCGGAGAAAATTAGTTAAAAGGTTTCTTGCTTATGTCGCCTCGATCATAATACTCGTTTAAATATGTATGTACAGAATATAAAGCATTAACTTAATAGCTCTACTAATGATATTGTGTAAAATGTGATCAATTTAATGATGAAAGTTTGAAAATAAAAAAAGCTAAATGGTAATCATAATTGTTTATATCATGAAGGACATGCATCTAAGGCTTAATACAAAATTATAGTTAAGGCTGCGGTCCATTGTTTATACGTCTTTTTCTAAAGAAAAAACTGTAACATCTATTTACTTAGTAGAAATACAAAACCACATTTATATTAATACAATTGATATGTACTCTATTTTATTAAATTTAATTTAAAAAATACTGGCTAGAAAGAGATAGAGTAACACAACAGTACAGTATTGTACATATTCTCTGAGTCTGTACCAAGATACACGATTACAAAGTTATGGAACAGTTACGGAGGATTTTAGTTATATTACTGATAGATTAGATAGTTCCGATTATCCATGATGATTGACATGACACACTTCAACTAAAAGTTAACGTCGTGTGCATACGTTTGCTAAAACTACAAGTTCTCGTTGCGTTTAACATTCACATTTTTCTCGATGTTTGAGAACTAATAACGGCTAGCTAAGACAGACAATCTGAGTATACCTTATACTGAGATCTTACAGCAGACTTTTTTTTTGTATTTATGTAAATAGTGTTTTAAACTTTATTACATGTAGGTATTGTTTAAAATAAATTAAAGGTTACGCCTCTTGAAAGTTGCCATCACAATTTTATTTATCGCGAGATTATTTTTGTGCATGTGGCTCTCCTGCGCGCTCTACCCTGGCAGTGTCCCTGTCCCCTAACCATGTATATATATGTATATAAATGTTAAGTTGGTTTGTGTACTACTGTCCCGATTGAGCTCAAATTGTAACACGATATACAAATCACTTTAAAGATTGTTCAAACTGTTTTTAATTTAACAAAAAATTGAGCATTTATTATGTCTCAGCTAAAAGTGTCAACTAATCTCATATATCGTTTTGCAAGTTACGACTCTATAACCAATTGAGTCTTTTATGCTGTGTTGATTAATATAATTAATAATATTTTCACACATTTCACACACAGCCGTCTGATCCCAAACTAGGCAAGGCCTGTACTAAAGTAACCGGACTACTGATAAACATACTTATATATTTCTAAATACATACATATTATAGATAAAGTACACCCAGACACAGAACAAATGACCGTGCTCATCACCCAATTATTTGCCCTGGGTGGGAATCGAACCCACGACCTCTGGCGTAGCAGTCAGGCTCACTAACCACTAGACCAACAGGCCAGTCGATTATGTGAGCTTACTTACGACACGTCAATTTTATTGTGAGGCGTTATTGGGTAGCATTAACGATCTGGTCGAACGGAAACGCATGCTTCTTCTCGAATGTAAAGAAAATGTTTAAACCGGAATCGAATGTTTAATAAATAAAGTCAAGTCCAGGCGAAATTATATTTAAATATAAAGAATATTAACTAGTAAGTACATAAAAAAAGGATTTGCAAGGACTCTGAAGTCACGTAACTGTAATAGGGAGATAAAATCGTCTATCTGTCTACTATTTGCACGAGATAAAATATATGTACATTTATCGGTAAAGTGCATGATGATGTAACTACTTACGTCAGGATACTTATAAAATATGTATATAAAATTGTGCGGTTTATAATTACAAAATACTTGATTCTCCTGACACCCCACACGCCTGAATTATGGCAATTACAACTGATAAACAAACCTAGTAGATATTATAGATACAGTACACCAAGACTAAGATATAATTGTCCTCATCACAGAATTATTGGCCCTGGGTGATGATGATTCAACCGGTTTCGGCCACGGCGACTGCATTCCGCATATCCCCATCGTAAATCTAAGTTTTAAAAGCTATTACGAATGTAATTTACATTTCCTGAATATTTTCTATTTAACAATTTTATCACAAAGTAAAGGAAAATAAAGACCATATTTTTTTTACACCGTAGTCTTAATTCTTATACATATATTGAAGCAATAGTATTTGTTTAGCAACACGGTATCAAGATAATGGAACTGAATCGTGTGCACACAAAGATTTTAGCTATATATAATGTATGTTTCAGATAAGCAAAATAATCTTGGATAAATAATAAAAAAATACTAGTTATTATTTTGAATGTTCATTTTGTTATGAAATCTGTGTTATCTTTTAAATAATATGCATTGTACCTACAGTTATTTGCTAAATAATATACCACACTGAGAAGAGGATTGAAATAAATAGTGTAGCTTATTGTGTAGAGACAAATCAGTGGGAGCTTGAAGTGCAGTGAACAGAAGGCCAATTCTCGTAATAAAAGTTCGGTCACAGTTCAGTTCCGATTAAACCTTCGATCTCACAACTGTCATAAAAGGTATTTTGGTAGTAAAATAGTATCACACGAATTACACGTTAGTAGATATAATCACATTACATTACGTTCGTTAAAACTAATATACATCTCTTTAAAAAACTATAGAACACTTGAAGAGGTCATCTTAGCGTTCGATATGACAATAAATTATGCCAAGTAAAATCGTACAACGCTTATGTAAAAAAGTTGTTAATGGTATGGCCCTCAAAATTTCCAATAAATTACCTGACAGTATGAAAAACTTACACTTGAGCCAATTAAAGAAATAACTACATAAACTGCTCATCAAAAAATGCAGCTATAGTATAAATGACTTTTTAAGTGACAGATTATTGTAATTTTCAATTTCTTGCTTATGAAATTTACTAATCTACGGTGTACAATCTGATATTAATGATTTGGACAATAATAATAACTATATATATTTATATATTTAATATTGTAGAATATATATAATGTTTTTCATATTTCATTCTTATCTATAAATTTATTATAATAATTCGAGGATCGACATTTAAATAATTAATTTATTATTCATAATTTATTAATAAAGACCAAATGAATAAGAATGAATGAATTACTATAACTCTAAGAAGGACATTGCATTAATTTAATATCATAAAATATATTTTTTTAACTTTATAATGTTTCAGAGTCAATCTTGATTCTGATTATGATAAACTACACTATAATTTTGCATGCGTTACGGTAGAAGTACGAAGACGGTATGTAATTTTCTAACACCATTGTAACAGTGTTTTCTGCAATATAAATAATTTGAATTTAAAATACAGTCAACGTTGGATGTTTAATACTTTACTACGAAAATACCTTTTATGACAGTTGTGAGATCGAAAGTTGATTGAGACCGAACTTTTATTACGAGAATTGGCATTCTGATGTTTACATTTAAAACATCGCGGCGTCACATTTTATATGAAACCGCGATTACTAGAGAGACCACAGCAGAAGGCAACGAAAGCCGGTGTTTTTTGTCACTGTCATCAGCCCTAAATTCCATAGGAATTAACGCGGTCCCTTAAAACTGTGCGCTGTTTACCTTTATAACTAAAGTACGGTCCTGTCCTTTACAGAATATCTGAATAAATTAAAGCATAAATAACCTTATATTGAAATGCTCATTGATAGAGGTAACGATATTCACCTACTCAAGCAATCGAGAGATTACATTTAATCAGTGAGGCATTGACGAATTTAATACATTGATTTTGATAAGAGTGAACATTTGATCTCAGCCCGCAACTTTACTAACAAATATTGTTTCGGTTTGACTGAAGCTTATTGCTTCCAATTGACACGTAAAGCAGTAGTTTGTTGACATATATGTGTACATTATATAGAAGAGGCTTTGACACTTACTTTGATTCCGTTCAGTACTTCGTTCATGAGTTTCACTCGTTCGTCTTTGTATTTCATTTGTTTGATCTGCAGTGTCTTTACTCTGTTCGCTATAAGTCCATTGATTGGTATTAATATTATCATCACGGCTAAACCAGCCAGAACTGACGGGCCGAGAATTCCCCACAGGAAATATAGGGCAAGACTAATTTGTAGCGGTGCCGACCATATCATGTTCAAGTAGGCGGTTAGTTCAATAAACCTGAACAAAGGAATAAAATTGCTGTTAACGTAACCAATATTACCTTTACACATACATGAGGAATATTTTATTAAAAAGTGAGGTACACAAACATACTTTCAATGCTCACACTGCATGTGTGTATTTGTGTGAGCTATATTGACTAATGAATACTGTGAACTATGTTGAAATTTATGCCTCAATAATTGCAATAACGTTAAGAATTATACACAAATATAAGTATAAATGTTCTAGACACGAGTTCTAGAATATTTATACTTACATTTTTTTTTTGTCCGAGATATATATGCATGCGGTTGAGATACACAGCAGGGTGGTTGTTTATTGCTTGTTTTTATTTGAAATGCAAAAGACATATCAGGCATATCAGTATATTATTATCAATTCCGAGATATATTTCCTATTAAGGAAGCTAGATATCTCTATCACCTTATGTAATTACCTTAGTTTTTATCATACTTATTTCTGTATTTCTTTCATGGCTAAGTTCATGATAAGATTAAAATTACTGGTTTGTCAGTGACAAATATTTATTCACACGATATTCAATAACTAAGAGCGAAATTTTGTTGATTCATTATTTGAGACAATTTATTATATTTGATTCATTATATTTTTCAGTAGACTAACAAACGACATGATTATTAAAATACTAATATAATACCTACAAATCTTGTTGTTGTTATTGGAAATGTTCATAGCCAAACTTAGTCTATTGTCAAGTTTCATCTTAAGTTACATAATCACACGAAGGTATTTTTTGATGGCAGAGCCGCGATGTCAAAAAACTGGTTTTCGAGACACACATAACAAAATACCGCAAGAAAAAATATTTGTTATGAGTAGATCAGATATTCACTATCCTGTTACTAGCGCGTTATATATTCGTCTGTTGTATACGCAATAATCCGAATAAATGAATGATTTTATGTACTTGCGTTATAGGTACTACTCGTAGAATGGACATGCATTCATCCCAAGCATTACGATCATTTTCGTAATCGTAGTAAAGTATCGGATATGAATTATTTATACCGATTTTGGATATTTAATACTTGGTTGGTATTTAGATTTATTTGATATCCGGCGAGAGCAATTGGGGGTATTATCATATCTATATATGTCAATTTTTTGCTGTCATACTGATAAAGTAGGAACTGATTAGGCCTATTTATAGTATTATGAGAGTATGAGATTTTATTGTTCGATAAGAAACGAGTAAATGAAACAAATTGCCCTATATTTATTAACTACTAAAACCTTTTAATATCCTTAGTTAATATAAATTTATAAACCAGGTGGACATGTAAAATTTAACAGATATAATGAATTGTTACCGGTATCTTTTTAAATTTGACACTCACAGCGGGGTGTTGTTTCTTAGTTTTGGATCAACTTTAGATAAATAATCCATTACATTACCTTTGCGCATCGACAGACATGAGGTTAACAATTTCTCCTACAGTGGACTCTTTTCTCGCTGAATTCGACATTCGCAGCGATTTCCTGTAGATGGAGCTGGTCAATGCTGTTCTTATTCTCATGCCCACCAGATACATTCGAGTAAAATAGTGTGCTAAAAGCATAGTTTGTACCATGGCGCAAACGAAAAGCCCCACAGCAAACAAATAACCTTTCCATAACGCCTGGTCTGTACGTACGAAGTTGATGAGAAGTCTAAAAAAAGCAATATGAATAATGAATAAGCCAATTTTTTATTTTAGTCGAATTTTAGTTTATCTCTGAAGTATGAATGAGCAAATCTATTATCGGTTACCTGAGCAGTTGTGGTGACAGGAACATTAGTATATCGTTGAAGAGTTTGAGGAGAGATCCGAACAGAAACTGGCCTCCAAAGGCTAAACATAGCGCTGGCAATATGGATGCCGGTTTCTTTTCAGACTCAGGCTTGAAGTTAACGCTGGCAGATGTTATGCGGTACGTCGCCTTCGTACCGTTTAAACTATCACAAAAAGAAACAGATATTTATAAATACAATAATCAGAAGAAATGGATAAAGTGTAAAGTAGAGCATAATTCCTTTTTTTATATCATCAGAATTTTACTTTGAACGTCTTACAAAAAGTGAATGACATTTTTCTGCTAAAACACGTGCATCGCATTTGATCACTAATCGATTAACTGACAGTTCTATATACGAGTAGAGTACCCACTATACAAAATGTGGTTTAATGTTTTAAAACAACATAATCAATAATTTACTTACAAGGTAACATAAATTTGTGATGAGTTTCTCAACATCCCTGTTTTCGATAGTACGTTACCCAATGTTCACTTAAAACACGTTTACTTTATTAAAAATGAAACATTTTGTATTAACCAAATAAAATATACTTACATCTCTCGTTTTTGTAAAGATCTTTCCCAATACTTGTCAAACTTCGGTACAACTTCTGTAGAAGAATCTGGAGGATTCAAAGCCCAGAGATCGTCTTCGGTTAAACTCCTTTTGAATCCTGTCAGGGCGAGAGGATCGAACCAACTGAACGTGAGTCGACTCGGGAATCCTGATGCCTTCTCTGGACATTGGTTCTATATAACACAATACCCTGAATTACGGTATCACAATAGTAGGTTGGCCTCGAACTTGATGTTTGAGTGTGGGTGTAACCCTGAGCTTGCGTAATTTAATAAACTAGTCGTGAACGTTTTTTTTTGACCTGACCTTATATGTATAAAATTGACGACTAATAGAGGAATAATATTTTAAGATAATAATATTAAGTCAGAAATATTTAATGATACTTTATGCGTGTCGACTAACAACTTAGTAATTATTTCCTGATTAAACTTACCTTTTCGTACTTGTAAGGCGAATTTTTCGGTGGCAAGTCAGCGAAACAGTTTAATACGAACATAATCAGTACTAAAACATAATACATCATGTAACTAACGAAATTATACTTGACGTTTTCATTCTCATCGCTATTATAGTGTGAAACAATCTGTGTCCTAAGCTGAGGTAAACCGGCAAAAACTATAATTAACCAAAAGAAGAAAAGCACCCCCGATGCTCTCATGCCGTATTTTCTATTGTAGTATAACAGCGTCGCTGATAAGGCCTGTTGACATGAAAAAAAGTATGTGATACATATATATTACGCGTGTAAAAAGCTGAGATTGGGTTTTAGATGGTGGGGAAAACAAAGCTCATTGGGACAATAACGGCTCTAACAATATTTTGACCATGAAAGAACTATTGTTCCTTTAGAAACCCAATAAGCAATTTATCAGAAATAACTCAAACAGAAACGAGTAAATTTACGTGAATGTGTTGTAAATACATATACAAATAATATCGGATCCACCTGACCAAAGTCCATTCTATGACTGAATACAAGTTTTTATAAGGATTTAATATTGTAGTGATTAGCGTACAATCAAGGTCAATCGTTCGAAGATCCGTTTGTTGGTAACTGTGCTGCGAGCCATATAATGAGCGTAGTGCCTATTCGAGGCGTTTACTGTAATAGTTCATGGGTAATATTTTTATAGCATGTGTCATTTGGTGATTTGTTCAGGGTTTTTTATTATTTACAACTGGTTTTTAAAAGAGTTGAAAATACAATGGTCAAATATGTTGTTGAGTAAATAGTTGAAGTTGTAATTCAACAAATTATAATTACATCAGTGTAACATGTAAATAATGACAAGAGTGAACTGCACAGTCCAATGTCTTTACAATGCTTCCTGAAAAGTTATAAACAAATCGGTTCTGTGAATATAAGTGTTTTGATACGAGTATGTTGATAAATAAAGTTATACTTACAAACGTGAAAATCTTTATGATGGGACTATAATAATCGGCACTGAACACTTCCAAGTCTTCTCTTGACGCATTATGTACAGTTACGCCCAGGTCCACAAACTTTAAAACAATCAGTAAACAAGTTATCACTAACTTGCTTGTGTTTAGTATGTTCCATGGTATATTTTTTTCTTTGCTGTTAAGTATATAGTATACATCAAGAAACGCCGCTACCCATAAGTAAAAGCAGGGAATCCATACTAGAACCGTCTTTTGAAAGCATGGCGTTAGCTCTGGGTTTTCTGTGTGCCATGTGAGACTGCTATTCTAGAAACAGAAAGGAAATTGCGTCATTAATAACTAAGTACGTATGTTATTTGAACTAAAGGGCAGACTGATGATTCGTAACTCGTCGCTCAAGAGCATCAGGAAGTTAATTAGCATATGCGAACGACATGCGTAAGGTAGTTGTACAAAAACATATGTTTGGGTGTATAATGACAACATGAGACTTTCTTCTTTAGTACCTTAGTAGCAAATACTGGATCACTTTTCGCTGACCGTAGAATGGTCAGCGAAAAGTGATGCAGTATTTATGTATTGAAGAGTTTTATTGTTGTTTTACTTGTTTTACCAGTAAAATCACTAGTATCATACATATAGTATGTAAGTCAAATTTAGCTTAAATTAATAAATTTAATATAAATAAAGTCAAATTCTCTGTTTTCTCTTGCACCTACCGCATCATTTTTCTACATCACCCAAAGGTCGACTAGCAGTGAATGCCCTGGGTGTTAAGGCCGCCTGTGTAAAACTTGTGCATTAAGATAATAAGTAAATTATATTTCGCATAACCTGACAGATTTCTCACAATGGTAATAAGTATTAATACATATTTTTATTTTACGGTACGGGTGACGTCGGCGATGATGTATATCATCCGATATCTGGTCATAAACTGAATTGAACCTAACTTTTTTATTAGTCTCATCAATTACAGTTATTATTTTTTATGGAACGACACAAAATTTAAGAGAAAATAATTGATAGTTGTGAACGGCTTATGTGTTATAGGTATATCTCGTCCAAGGTTTAACAACTGATAAGTGCAATTTTGTTGACAGTGCTGAATTACTTTGCAAGTGGCGACAAAACAAATACAAAGAATATGAAAAGAAATATAGTATGCCCTGGGTAGATTGATTTTCACTTCTTCATCCTCATTGGAGTCACATACATATATTATAATACACACAACACATACATATAGTAGACATACAAATAATTTATTTATAGTTCAACTCTTATCATTATTAAGTAAACAATATTTGACGTACACACGTCAAAAATTGTGGTAACGCTACAGTAGCACGGGACGAGTTACTTCATCCCGCTTGCCCTCGATGTGGTTAAATGAGGTTTTGCGATGCATTACGATCTCTTGCGCTCCTCTAGTTGACCTTGCTTTTAGCAGGCTAGACCCACTCCGTACTTTAAGCACGGAATAAATAATACTAGAATCGATAGACAGACAAAATAATCTAATTATTGTATTATACTTATTCCTATCGACGTAATAAATTTTATTAATGAAACCTGATTCTAAGATGCTTTTCATGTTTTTCGAGTGTATACTGTCAAAAAAAAATCATAATTATTTAGAACATTCTTATCTTATACAGAAATATATTTATTAATTTTATTGTTTATTTTTACTTGTTTGTTTGTTTGTTTAAGAAAATACTTTTCTTCAAAGAAGCTCTAATTTATTTTTAGAACTTCCAAAAATATGCCATTACTAAAATGATGCCTAAGAATGTATGCCTTTTGCCATTAGTGTATGACTAGTTAAGTTCAATGTTATCGTCATGATCGTAGAATAATCTCGGTTTGGAAAAAAAATACGAAAGCATGTGATTTTTCTAGAAAATTGTATGATTATTAGCTGTTATTTTATTGTACTTTAAAACAAACCCTATTTTACACTTGTATGCCAATTTTCATAATTACAGATTCAGAATTTAAAGTTATGTCAAAAAAATTACAATTATTTAAAATGGCTGCCCTTTAAAGTTAAATAAATGTCAGATCCGACACTATTCTACGACTATGACGTTATGAAAAAGTAAAACAAAATTGTCTTGGTTATTTAGTAAATCTAATGGGTTTACTTTCTTCTCGAACCGAGGTTCGGCTAGGAGTCTATAGGGCACTTGAGGGCCTTTACCCGCAACGAGCGGAACACACTCCCCCGGCGATGGCCTCCTTGGCCGGAGACGACGGGGAGCACGAGGAGGATGATGTTCCGCCCGTCCGGGATTCGGAGGTAGGGGCGGCTGTTCTACGGATCCGTTCCAAGAACACCGCCCCTGGGCCAGACGGGGTACCGGCCCGAGTGCTGGCCCTAGCCCTCAACCACATGGCAGACCGCCTCGGGGAGGTGTTCGACCTAGCTTGGCGTCGGGACGTTTCCCTGAGTGCTGGAAGAGCGGGAAGCTGGTCCTATTAAGGAAGCCGGGACGGCCTGCCGATTCGGTCGCGGCCTACAGGCCCATCGTGCTGCTGGACGAGGCGGGTAAATTGTTTGAGAGGGTTCTCTCTGCCCGCATCGTCCGGCACCTCTGCGAGGTGGGCCCCGATCTGTCGGACGCCCAATTTGGTTTTCGGGCGGGGCGTTCGACAGTCGACGCTGTGTTGCGCCTGAGGGCCGTGACCGAAGAGGCCGTGAGCTGTGGCGGCGTGCTGTTGGCGGTGTCATTGGACATCGCCAACGCATTCAATAGTCTGCCATTCAGCTGCATCAGGGCAGCACTCCACTATCATGGGGTTCCAAAGTACCTGATTGTGGCAGACTATTTAGAGGAGCGTACCGTCGTGTACGAGGACCGAGAGGGTAATTCGAGGTGTCGGCCCATGTCGTGCGGTGTTCCACAGGGGTCTGTTCTTGGTCCCCTCTTGTGGAACATAGGGTACGACTGGGCGCTTCGAGCCGATTTCCCCCCCGGGCTGGGTGTAATTTGTTACGCAGATGATACTCTGGTGACAGCCCGGGGGGCGAACTTCCAAGAGGCGTATTGAGGCGCTGGGCTTACGGGTGGCCCTAGATAAGACGGAGGCCCTGTTATTTCATGGGCCCCGTCGTGGTCCACCCCCTGGCGCCTGGTCAACTCGGTCCTCGTACAGGTTCGGACCCAGATGAAATATCTGGGCCTGATCCTCGACGGGAGGTGGCTCTTCGACGAGCACTTCCGACAGCTTGCTCCAAAGCTGGTCGGCGCTGCGTCTGCCCTAGGGCGACTTTTGCCCAATTTGGGTGGACCCAGCGTCGCGTCAAGACGGCTGTACACGGGGGTTGTCCGGTCAATGGCACTATACGGTGCACCGGTGTGGGCGGCGGCTCTGACCGCCCAGAATAGGGCACGCCTCTGGCGCCCTCAGAGGGTAATGGCGGTCAGAGCCATACGCGGTTACCGCACCGTGTCGACGGAGGTGGCGTGCGCGTTGGCTGAAACTCCCCCGTGGGATTTGGAGGCGGAAGTGCTCGCCGAAGTTTATCGGCGAGTGGCTGACTCCCGGGCGGAGAGCGGATTCCGCCCTCCGCCCGAAGACGTGCGCGAGTGGCGCGAAGCCGCTCGCCGAGCCACGATGGCTCGTTGGTCGTTCCGGCTGGAGACTCCACGCGCTGGCTTAGCCGCCGTGGAGGCTCTCCAGCCGGTCATCGCCGAGTGGGCAGGGCGACAGCACGGGACCCTTACCTTCCGGCTGACGCAGGTGCTTTCCGGGCACGGTTGCTTCGGAAAGTACCTGCACTCGGCCGCTAGGAGGGAACTGAGTCCCGCCTGCCACCACTGCGACTGCAGTGAGGACTAGGCCCAGCACACGCTGGCGGTCTGCCCCGCATGGGCGACGCAGCGCCGGGCCCTCACTGCAGTCATCGGAGTGGATCTCTCGCTACCGGCCGTAGTACGCTCCATGGCCGGTAGCGACAGTTGTTTTACCGCGGTCGAAAGCTTCTGCGAGAAAGTAAACTAGCAGAAGGAGGCGGCGGAGAAGGCCCGGGAGGACGACCTCCACTCGGCCCCGATCCGCCGCCGGCGAACCGGGCGGCAGAGGCGCGCCTATCACCGCCTCATGCCGCCCTGAGTGTGGCCGCGGGTGGACGGGGTGGGTTTCCCCTCCACCCGCATTAGTTTGGCCAGCCGCGAGGGGGCGGCTTCCGCGTGTGCCGGACGTCGCCTAAAGAGAGGAAATAATTTTTGAGACGGAGCCCGCAACAGGAGCGGGCCGGCGCTAGGAGGGGTCCGGATGTCTTAATAACAGCTGTTCCCGGATCCCTCCTATTACAGGCGCAGAGTGGCACACCGTGTGGTTTTAGTCGGTCCGAGTCCGACACACCACCCCGCCGCAAACCCCGGTGGGGTGACGGTCCGAGGGGATTTCCACACGTTAAAAAAAAAAAAAAAAAAAAAATGAGTCTATAGGGCACGCCACTGTGTGTAATATATACGAGAAAGGACCCGTGTTACTCAGATCTGGCTTTTCTTTAACTTACGTAAGTAAAGTGGGCGGTTAAATAGAACGGATAGACGGATTCGCAAAAGATGTAATTTTAACATATTGTTTTGAGAAATACTTTTATTAAAAAAAAAAGAACGTTTAATAATAAAAACAAAATGTTTAGCGACATTTTCGATGCAATAAAATGTTTTTTCTTTTTAATCGAAATCTGATACCCGTAGACCTGACCTGTCTTTTTTGAAATTCACCATTTGATAATGTTCACGCGAATGAAGTCGTAGACATGTTAAAAGGTTAAGTTAAAAGCGATAAAACAACGATTCACATAGAAGGTGGTATATTGTGAAGTCTTTGTCGATTGAAAACTTTATCTCAACTAACATAAAGATACTTGTGCAGACTGGTGCTCCCAGACTTTGAATATTTTGATGTTTGTGACCTGTTCAACAAACTAGACTTCTCAATTATTGTATTCCTTCCTATTCAATTTGCATTAGTACGATCATATATCCATTTATCGCCGTCAGCTGCTATGGCTATATGCAAGAGGGCCTTCACTACGTTTTAAACATTCGTCATGCCCCTAACTATTCAACATCTGATTTCTAATATTGGTGTTCAAACAATAAAAGAAATCTGCGCTTTTCTAATAACATTGTTCTCTGTCGGTCTAACAACTTCATTGTTTAAGCTTGGATCCTTTGAAATGTGCTTTTATAAAAAATCAGGATATCCACTCATCTATATCATAATACCGCAAAACATAATTAAACTAATTAAAATCTCACAAGTAAAATATTGTAAAATTC